TCCCTGCCTACCTATCCTACCTACCTATCTGCCTTCTCCCCACTACTGCCTCCCTCTTGCTCTCCTACTTTCCTCCTCCTTTATCTCTTCCTTTCTCCTTATGATCTGCCTACTTCACTGTTTTCTCACTTATCCCCTATCCACATAGCTCTCTCTCCTCCTTTTGTCTCTCCCCACATTTCCAACTTGCACTATCTCTGCCCATCACCTCTCCTTTCTCCTCCCTCAATCTTACAGACATGGTTTGATAAGACACAACCTACCTGGGAGTGTGACAGTGGGACCTCTCTCTGCTTCCCATGACCCAGGATGGAGCCCCACTCCCAAACTTCCTATTGCCTCTCTCCAGCTCCCTGCTAGACTTCACCACTTTTCTCCCTTTCAGGGCCTTTGTTCAAACTTTATTCCATCATCAAGGAAGCCGTCTTTGCCTGTAAAAATCCCCCCTCTTATTTAAATTCTATCTCAAAAGCCCCCTTCTCCAGGAAGCCTTTCCTACTCTCCAACTGAGGCTATTTTCTTTGAGCTCCATTTGTACCCACCTCTACTCTTATCACAGACAGGTATGTCCTTCTCAGAACCCAGAGGGCAGAGGCTGGGTTTGATCACAGGGTACCAGCTTCATCTCCAACCTAGTACATCTTTGGCCCAAAGGAGGAACTCTGGGAAGATGACCCAAATGTGGCTGTGGTTCAGTCTCTCACTGGAGTGTCCCTCCCTAAATTTCCCAGCCTTGATTTTACCCCTGCTGCTCACCCCTCACAGCTCCTGGCTAGCCTTGGCCTGGCCAGTGCTCCCAGCTCAGCCTCACGCAGCTCTGGTCCTGTTCCTTTAGCCTTAGGCAGAGAACACCTGGCTGGGAGGGCAGTGGCTAGTAGCCAAGGCCAAATCTAATAGCTTCTAGCCAAGCCTGGAGGGAGGGAGTATGCAGGAGGGGCTTCCAACCTTGGTGGTTGGTCCCCAACTTGAATTGCTAGACCTTGCTGAACACTGATTCATTCCAGGTAATTGTTGTAGGGTTGTGGCACAAAAATGACATAGCTCTGGGAGAAATGGGTAGAAATATTCATCAAATTTTGAGATCCACAAAGAAGCTAGTTAACTATGAATTAAACCAGCCAGATGTGGCAGCCACCATTGGTGGTCTAGGGAGTGAGAGAAGGGGAGAGAATATTGAAGTGGGAGACCAAGTCCTGGAATCCAACACCTGACCTTTAAGGAAAGGGGAGAAGCACACACTGGGCAAGTCATAGGTTCCTCTGGGTTTGTCTCTTTATCTGTAACCAATACTGTCTGGGGATCTACTTATGGAATATATTCTCTCATCTGAGTAAGTCTAAGTCTTGTGTAGATAAGTAAATTTCATGATCTATATAGTTACTTCTGTAGGAAAGAGATGTAGTACCAAATGGGGAGAGTAAAGGGCAAACAAAGTATCATTCCACTTCGATTTGTGTTAAAGCCAATGTTTGCAGGTATTAAATTATACACACTAAACTGTTTTTTAAAGAAGCTTTGGTGCTTGGGAATCTCCCCATTCAATACCTATAAAGACAAAGGTCCTTAAGACAGACAGATCAGCATGCATGCGCACACACACATAAACACACACACAGAGCAAGACAAAGAACTAATTCTGGTTGCAATTTTTCAAAGTGACACCATTTAGACAGATCAATACTACCTAGCTAAGACACGTATTCACCACATAACCCTTGGTCTAGGTGCTAATTTTCTAGGGACTTAGCTAATTAAGTTAGCAAGGTAGTGTCATTCTCAATCCCTTCTCTCTCAATCTCTCAATCACTCAATACTCCTCCCTCCTGCTCTCCCTCCCATAGGCTGTCTCTGGATTACAGGCACATAACCTGAGCTATTCACTAGAAATGAGAGGAGCATGTTTCTGCTAGACAGTGCTTAATTGCAACTTTGGAATCATACAAGCAATTGGGGTTAAAAAATACCCTTTGATTTTTTTCTTTCATGTTGAGAAGTGACCATTTCTGAGAAGTATTTCTGAAGAATAAATAAGTATTAGGACAACTGTATGGTCCACCAGTAAGAAGCTTCCAAGAAACTGCATCATGTAGAAATTAAATGATTTTGCTCTTCCAGACGGTTCTTACAGTGATGGGGGGAAAAATCATACCTAATGGTCTTCTCTGTTTTAGGGCTTTTACAAACAGAAGACTAAATTATGACTTGAATGGTGTTAGCTGTAAGTCTTCAAATTGTAATTTTAATTTTAGTTTATTCATCCATGCATTCACCTATCAAACAAACATTTACTCAATGTTTACTTTTGTGCCAGGCACCTGATTATGCAGTGAAAGATGTTCTCCCCTCTAAACTGTCCCTTAGAGTTTACAATTCCTGCATTTTCTAAGATGGCTAACTGCCATTTTATCTCTTATTTATTAGAGATTTTAGAGGTGTTATATTTTCTTCATTAATCAAAATTTGCATGACACAAGCAGAAAGCATACATTACGAGTGTAGTAAAGCCTCAGTCCACAGATCCTGTAGGAAATTAATATGAAGCTTGATTTTCTTAGATGTTCCCTTAAATTGTGGATAATTTAAACCATTAATTTATTTTTGGTCAATAGCTTTCTAAATGCACTAGAGTTCTTTTCCTTTAGTGCAGAACATATTAATGACTCAAGGCTACCATTAATATTAAATATTTTGCTATGCTGTAACACAGTGGCTGTATTAGGCCCTATCATGGAATATAGAATGATTTGTATCAATAATGAGTAGCCCTTGACCACTGTGATGTTTTTTGGTTCTACTGCCTATTGTTTTTGCAGTTTATCTGTCTTCTTTCCTGTCAGGTCTTTCTTTATGTTGCTGGTATCCCACTACTCGCTCAAGTTCTTGAATCTTATTTGCTGTTTCTAAATTGCTGTGGGCCTCCAAACTATATAATCAAGAGGTAAAGTAGTTGTTAGGGAGGATAGAAAGATGCTTCTATGAAAACGTAAGAACTTAATTTTTGTGATATCTCTTCTGGTTGTTGAGAGGCTACTTGTTATTTTCTTCCTGTTTCTTCATAATGTTCTAAATGTGCTGGGTAGCAGTGTTCTTGATAGTCTGGATTTATTCCATAGAGCATTCTCTATGGTTTAATTTGATTTTTTAAAAGGATTTCTTAGAACTATATGTTGTAACTGGTAGGCAGATTTTAAGCTATTAAAAAAACTACAAAACTATTTACCATGGCTTACCAGTGATATCATGACAACAAAATAAGGCATGATTATGTTAGCTATTTTGTTACAAGAGGTCAATTTTGAAACATATATTCATTCCCCTTATAGAATGATTGGCGAGTATATAGCTCCCAGGAAGTGTATGCTGTGATCTCTAGGCTTCCATATTTAGTCAGTTTGCTAAGAATATGGGGAAAGTGAGACTTGTTGACTAAATCCAAGAGACCAGAAGGCAGAAAAGTAAAGTAACATGACTTACCATTTGCCAGTCCTATGTCTTCTCAGATATCCTGAGGGAGATGGGATGATACTGAGCTGGGCTCAGGTGACGGAATTTGGGATCAATGGTCAAATAGTTTTATTGGGATCTTATCAATGATAAGCATGAGGACATGATATTTCTATGTCAGGAAATTTCCAGATAAACCAAATGAACGGTATTAAAATTTATGATTAAAAAACAAAAGACTGGGAACTTTTATCACATAGTCCAGAAAATCAAAAGGTTATTTTTACCCCTCAAGTTTATTGCTTTAATAATCTGACAAAGTTTGCATGTCATGGGAGCTACATATATTATGTTCTCTTTAAACTGATGCCATCTGTTGACATACCAGGAATTAATAACCAGGAGTTGATAAGAGGGGAATGACTCTCCACCCTTTATCTGGACCTATTACAGCCCAGGATCCCTTTACACCCAATTTTTGCTTGCCTCTTGGTCATTCTTAGCACAGGGCTATTCTACAGCTGAGATACCAAATATGGCAGCCACTTGTTACTTGTAGTCTATTTACATCTAAATCTATTAAAATTAAATAAAATGGAAAATTCCATTCCTTAGTAGCACTAGCCACATTTCAAGTGTTCATTAGCCACACATATCTAGTGCTGCTATACTGGACGCTGCAGATGTAGAACATGTCCATCATTGCAGAAGACCCCATGGGACGGTGCTGTTCTGGAGTCTTGCCTCTGGGTGGCTGCTACACCTGTACACATGGTCCTTCTATCTCCAACAAGCCTGCGCAACTCAGTAAATGCCTCAGCTAGCTTGACTTAGCACTCCTCTGCAGCAGTGTCCTAAGACAGCGCTAAGAGTTCATGCCAATGTTCTTCTTTGTGTCTTGAGATTCTTTCTATTCGTATTATGTATTTTCATTGGTTAGTTATGTAACTAATCATGCCAATTTTTTGCTGATCCTCTGTTAACCACGGAACATATTGTTTTGCATGGTGTGGGAAAGACTCTTAAATCAAGCTAGAAACAATGACTTGTGAAGTTTTAGGGCTCTATGATTCTACTTATTCCAACAAAACAGAGTGTCGGTTGATGTTCTTCCCTCTAAGCTGTCAAGAAATTTGAAATGAGTATGGAGGAAATATTTAGGTTGAAAGAAAACTTCGATGGAATTCAAAATCCCAAGACCACAAAGTGGAATTGATTAGCCTCAGATGAATTCTAATGTCAGGATTTCCCACAAGATTTAATGCGGAGAAGCTACTTTTATTTCTTCAAAGCCAGGTATTCATTCTCAATGAGTACATGAGGATGCTGAGGAGAGATGGGGAGGATCACTGCTGAATACGTGACTTCACTCTCCATTAGGACTTTTGGACAATTACAGAGAAAGGGGAGTGAGTAGGAAAGAGGTCTGACAGCAATTGCCTTAGAACACTCACCAGATAAGATTCACCTATCACCTTTGATCCACTTGTTGGGAACCCCATTGTCTGGTATTTACGGCCCTAAGTGTGCACCTCTGAGACCCTCCACAAACCTACTTGTTATGGAAATCGTAGATCTCTTGGATGTTGCCAAAGATGATATGCTCTTTATTGAGGATCCCAGGGGGGATCTCCTCCACACCACTGGTCATTTCCCACAGGTAGGTCTGTAAGACAGTAACAGTTTCATCACTGGCAAGTCTGGCATGCCATATAAAATACAAACAAAATAAACAGGTGTTCAAACTTGTGGGGCAAGACTCAAACTGTAAATGCATGTAGAGTTGAAAAAGTGACATGTTAAGTAAACATAAGAGAAAGAAAAAATCTGAATATTTCATTATCCTGAACTTTAGCAAGAACACAAACTCCACAGTCTCTTGTTATTTATTAAATGTGTGTAGATTCCAGTATGTGTGTATGGTGGGGGAGACAGGATGCACATTTTCCTGCACAATTTAAATTCATTGACTGTGTCATGGTTTCATTTTGAGTTAAGTGCCTTATATACTTCTTTTTCCTGGGTCTAGCTCCAGTCTGATAAAAGTTTAAACTTTCTTTTCAAAAGTACTTTAAACTCCCATGCAATTATTATTGACTTCAGGAGAAAGATTTCCTCTGGCTGGCTTTTTAATTCATTACTCTCTGGGAGAAGACCAAGAGCACCAAGTTCCAGTTGAGGACTTGATGCTGGCAAGGATGTCATTTTTCCAGTACAGCTGTGAATGGATTACTGGAAGACTCACCTCTAAGCACTCATGTAAATCCCTTACATAAGCCTTCTCTGTCTGGAGTAGTTCAGCCATAATAAATCTAGAAGGAAACAAATGGGTTTTTAGTTGGTTATAGATATAATGTCTCTCTTCCTTAAAACTTCACTTCCCCACCCCAGCATGTATGACATTCTAAAACATCCTATTTTTCTACTTCATCAACACGTCTTTTCCTTTCTTCAAAATTCCTTCCTTCTCCTACAAGTATCTTCCTATGAGTCACTCTTACCATGACCATTGGCTCTGCATCCCTTTAGCAGGTTTGTGCTCAGCTATGTCCATATTTTCTCTCCCTTTTCCACCCCAGTCCTGCTATTAATACTTGTGATTCTATGGTGATATTCATGTGAGTACAGGCATGCAGGACTGTTCATATTCTGTCTCACCAACTAGATAGCTTGAATCTCAGCTTTCCACATTTTTATTACAGCTCCCAGAATGATGATTTCTGTTCAGTAGAGTTTGTAGATGTATATCAAAACAGTTCTTAGTACCATAATAAACCAGGTTTCAAAGCCAAGAAAAGATGTCCAACACACCGAGATCAGGGGTTAGCAATTTTTCTATAAAGAGCCAGATATCTCTGTGGGCAATTCAGTCTCTGTCACAACCACTCAACTTTGCTGTTGTCATGTGAAAGGAGCCATAGATAATGTGTTAAAAAAAAAAAAAGTGTGGCTGTGTTCCAATAAAACCATATATGGACACTAAAATTTGAATTTTATCTAATTTTCACACGTTATAGAATATTCTTCTTTTGATAATTTTCCCAATTACTTAAAAATATAAAAGAGAATTTTTAGTTTATAGGCTATATAAAATAGCTGGTGTGTCAAATTTGGTCTATATTTGCTAACCTCTGACCTAAATTATCCTTTTAGCTATTTCAATACTATTTTCAATGGGACTAGTTTACAGCATAAACGGATGTGTAGAAAGCAAAACATGCAACCATAAGCACAGTATAAATTAATAATAAGTGACTGCTTTTCACTCCCTGATAAAGAGAAGTGTGTGCTATGCAGCTTTAAAGAGAGGGTTCTTCCTCCTTGGGCCTCTAAAGAACACAATGTGCTTAGACAATTGTTAAACTTATGGTGCATGGCCTCACTGTGGTGTATTCTACTTCATTTTCACAAATCTTTATTAGAAATGGTGCTTGTCAGCTGGCATATGATATGTAATTTAGCACAAACTATTTATTTATACATATGTCTTACATTTTCTATATCAGTTTTTCATGCAGTTCATAATGAGCATCCCTATTTCCAGGTGTTCTACCACATGAACATTTTGAGAAATACTGTCCCCAAAGTGTCCCCTGTTAGAAATTTCATAAGAAATATTAAATGAGCAGCATCTTTTCCTGGACTTTTATCTTGGTGGGATTTTTTCCTTAAAGCAAATATACATTTTTCTATCAGTTGCCTTTCTATTAAAATTGAAGCACTGATTCATCATTCTAAGTGAAGTAACTCAGGAACGGAAAACCAAACAGTGTATGTCCTCACTCATAAGTGGGAGTTAAGCTACGAGGACACAAAGGCATAAGAATGATACAATGGTCTTTGGGGACTCAGGGGAAGGGCAGAAGAGGTGTGAGGGATAAAAGACTACACTCTGGGTGCCGTGTACACTGCTCAGGTGATGGGTGCACCAAAATTTCAGAAATCAGCACTGAAGAACTTATTCATGTAACCAAACACCACCTGTTCCCAAAAACCTATTGAAATTGTAAAAAATAAAGTGCTAACTCAAAAATTCCTTTTTATAGAAGTTAATTAGCCACTATTTTTTCTATTCTTTGAACTGAACTCTATTGGTAGAATAAAAAGTGTATAAGCTTTGGAGTCACACAGATAGGAACTGAATCACAATCAGAAGTAGGACTTGCCTCTCTGGTTCTCAGACTCCTTACTTATAAAATAGCTGATCACACAGAACTTCTACAAGTATGAAACAAGATCACATAAGCAACATGCCTAGTGCATGGTAGGTGCTCAGGAAACATTTCATGATTAAATGAGCTGTAGATTGCAATGAAACTAGGACAGAAGGGAGATCAGAAGGAACATAAACTGATAGGCTTGCCTTTGATTGTACTGCCTTAGGTTTTCTGGAATTGTTCTTTTGCTTCCATCTGCTTCCTGCAGTTTTACCTGTCTTTCTGAACAATTTAGCGCTGCTATTCCACCCCATTTTGTTTTATTTTCCATCCATCCTTTAATTTCTTCTGGCTATTAGGTGTCAAGAAGGAACCAAGGAGGGAGATCTGGTCAGGTGTAGTCCCCTCATTCCCCTCCCAGGTATGTACTGAATTATGACCCCCCTGAAATTCATATGCTGAAGCACTAACCTCTAATACTTCAGATTTTAGTTTTATTTGGAAACAGTATCACTGTAGTACCAGAGTAGAGTTGCCCCTGAATCTAAAGATTGATGTTATTATAAAAGGGGGAATTTTTGATATAGGCATATATTCTGGGATTATGCCACATGAGCATGGAAACAGCCATCTACAAGCTAAGGAGAGAGGCCTAAAACAGATTGTCCCTTGTCCCCTCACTGCCCTCAGAAGGAATCAACACTGCTGACACCTTGATTTAGGCTTCTAGCCCCCAGAACTGTAAGACAACACATTTCTGCTCTTTCAACAACCCAATTTGAGGTACTTGGTTACAGCAGCCCTGACAAATGAATACACTCCCCATATGAACAAGCTCTGACTTCACAGAGCAGCTTTAGTTCCTTCAGCTCCAAGGAACCTGTGGTCCTACTTCATCCTGATCAAAGAAACTACACAGAGGTTTTTAATCTTACAACATACTATTTTTTTTTTCTAGTAGTTCCCAAACAGAGTTTCAAAACATTCTTCAGAAAACTCTGGGTACGTGTGACTCTGTAACGGCAACATAAAGGAAGCAGAGTGTCAAGAAATGGTTTATAAGATTGGCACGGTTCATTGTTTCCTCTTTCCAATGCCCTATAACTTTTGATTAGAGTGAAATATTGGTAGACAATTCCCTACCAAACAACCAAAGAAGAAAAATGTGTTTTGCCTACCTGGAGTCAGGACTTTTCTGAGAGTGGAGCTGAGATACTTAGAGAGCAGAGCAGGAATCTAATGATAAGTTGGTTCCAGCTCGCTAAATGAATTCTGGCCCCTATTCATTCTTATTCTGAGAAAACAGAGTTCAATTTATGAAAACCTCAGGCAACTTCAGATTCTTCCAAAATGTTTGAATCACAGCATCCTCTACTCTCTTCTTGCCCATTTCCTCTGCCTCATCTCCTCATGTGCTAGAGCTGCTGACCTAGGAGTAAACTTAGGTGGCAGCTTTACATTCTAACATCTACAATTCACTCAATGGACCAATTCCCAAGTATCTATTTCTTCCTTTTGAAATCTGAATACCTAGTCCAAGTGAGGGGAGGGCCCATCTGGCATTGGAATGCCTCCTAAAGCATGCCTTATTTTCTTCTGGCCCAATGGTATATACCCTCAACTTCAAGTAAAGAAATTGATGTTACAGTCCTTATTTATTGTGTGATTTTAGATAATGTCTTGCCCTTTCCTCAAGGTTTCAATTTCTATATCCAATTATATTCTGTAAGATTTTCTTTTTTTTTTTTTCTATTTTGAGATGGAGTCTTGCTCTGTCGCCTAGGCTGGAGTGCAGTGGCGTAATTTTGGCTCACTGCAACCTCACCTCCTGGGTTCAAGGGATTCTCATGCCTCAGCCTCCCAAGTAGCTGGAATTACAGATGTACACCACCACACCCAGCTAAGTTTCACATTTTTTTAGTACAGACAGGTTTTTTTTTGTTTGTTTTTTTTTT